TGTTAGAAGTACTAGGGCTTGCACATCTCCAGAATACGGCTCCATCATTGAGGATGATCTCAATAACGACATTCTCATCTCTGCTTTTCACCAAAAGAGCTCAAAATTCCTGATTTTTGGATGTCGACGGCATTTTTCCAGGCTAGTCCTCAATCTGCCTGGCCGGAAAGTCCACCAGCTCCCACAAATCTCCTGCTGAGAAGACAATCTGTTGACGGAGCACGGCTCTCCCAAGCATATGTTTCCTGAGTGAAGCCGTAGATGGCAGCAAGTGACATCTCACAAATTCAACCTTTTTTTAGGGGGGTGGGAGGGTTGGAAGCCTCATTCTCTTCCATTTATTTTAGGGAAACATAGGGAATTAAGCTTTTCTCACATTTCTCATGAGCAGAGAACGACACTGCTCCTGCAGCTGATAGGTTCAACCCCAAGAACACACAAATAACACTGGGCTGAGACGTAGCTGCATCTACTTGAGATGCTGTAGGACCACATGCAGCACAGGATTAATAGATGAGATCTTAAGACAGAAGAGGAGCCCAGCCAGCGAACACAACCCTTATCACAGCAGAGGAATAAATATTCATGGCCAAATATAAGGGGAGGGAGAAACCAGCCCTCCGTTTACGATTCGAGATGGACCTAAGCTTCTGAACTCATCAAACGGAGTAAACAGCCCCGTAATGAGTCTTAATCAAATCTTATCTGGTACAAACACTCTCTTGAGAGTCGTAGATATCCTAATGATGAGAAAAAACGCAGCCCCTTATAATTAAGTGGAAATAGGATTAATGGCCACGGAGGCTCCGGGACCTTCTTTGAGCACAGACCTGAGCACAAATGGGGAAATCTCCCGTGATGGTTGAGAAGAACGACGGGAGCCACGGGACCAACTCTACTGGTGAAGGAGACTCACGCTGGGGCCATCAAAGTATTGGGGCTTTAGTTGGATAGAGACGAAGTAAGACGAGAAGAAGAAGGATCGAAGTAACCCAGCCTCAGGGTCCAGGCTAAAGGTTGAAAAAAATCACAGAATCACAGAATCTTCTAGGTTGGAAGAGACCTTAAAGATCATCTTGTCCAACCGTCAACCTAACTGACAAAAATAGACACCCACACAACAACCAAGGAGCATCATCACTAAACCATAATGGTTATAGAAACCAAAGAAATAGCTGCAACTTTTTTTTTTACCCCTTATTTCTGCACCACAGCTGAGTGGAGACGGTAAATTTGTGTCTCTCTTAGTTTAAAGAAAAAGAGACAGCGGAGAAACGCGAAGATATTTTAAGGCAAATCAGATCCATCCAACTGCCTGAACTAACAGCCGTAAAACCCCGACCTTCCTCACTCTTGTCACAAAAATGAAAGCTTAAAAACACAGAAGTTCTACTTCAGTTACCCCAGTTGCTTGGTTAAGTGCAAAAGAGCTACGAGAATAATTTATTTTCTCCAATTACTGAATTTTGAAGGTGTTGACCTCCTTTACAGACGATGTTTCAAGCACCGTCTGCTCTCGGTGTTTGCCATTATCGAAGCCAACCCCGACGCAGCAGCGGTTTAAACGCTGGTTTGACAAGGATGGAGGCTCCTCTGGATCTAAACTCCGGGTTGTAGCACTAACCACAGCCAATTTTAGTCCTCTGCCACCAATCTCAGGTTTTCTGTCCAGGCACTACATCTTGAAGGAGATAAAAATGCAGATTTCTTCAGTATGCGTTGGTTGCACCCGCACGAAAACTGCATTTCTTCGCTGGACCTTCAAATCATGCTTATTCCATACCCATTGTGCTTGTTAGAAAATATAAAAATCATAGAGTCATAGAAAGGTTTGCGTGGGAAGAGATCTTAAAAGATCATCTTTAGCTCCACAACTGAGGAGGAGGTACAATATTCCAAGCAAACCAACACAGAACCACAGAATCACAGAATCACTGAATGGTTTGGGTTGGAAGGGACCTTAAAGACCATCCAGTCCAACCACCAGCCCTGGGCAGGGACACCTCCCACCAGACCAGGTTGCTCCAAGCCCCCTCCAACCTGCCCTTGAACCCCTCCAGGGATGGGGCAGCCACAACTTCTCTGGGCAACCTGGGCCAGGCTCTCACCACCCTCCCACCAAAGAAGTTCTTCCCCACATCTCATCTCCATCTCCCCTCTTTCAGGGTCAAACCCTTCCCCCTCCTCCTAGGGCTCCCCTCCCTCATCAAGAGTCCCTCCCCAGCTTTCCTGGAGCCCCTTGAGGGACTGGAAGGAGCTCCAAGGCCTCCCCGGAGCCTTCTCTTCTCCAGGCTGAAGCCCCCCAACTCTCTCAGCCTTACACATATGGCAGAGTTCCTCAGTTCCTCTCACCTGTTAGATTTCAAAAGACTGAGAGTCTCTGAGGACGAGGGCAATGAGATGAACACATCTATGCACAATACCCCCTGGAGAAACCACATCACCAATATGTATCATCTCCAAAAGGCTCTGACTCAGCTCACGTTGGTAGAGATCGCTTTGTCTTCCAAGAGTCAAGAATCAGTGTGTCAAGAATGTAAAATTCCCCTGGGAGTAAAACACAAATGGAAGAGTCTAGTGGTGACCAAAATAGCTTTGCCAGAAGAAAAGCAAAATTTAAGCCCAACGTGCTCGTGAAGTTCTCTTCCCCTTCAGAAATGATGAAGAAAGAAAAGGAAAAGGGTAGATTTGCAAAGGAAAAAGCAGCAAAGAGCAGGTCAAGGAGACAAACCAGGGAAGGACAACAGGACGCCACTCAAGAAAGGAAATAAAAATAAAATGCATTTCAAGAGAAAAACACAAATAAAACAAAAGGAAGAAGGGAGAACGTCTCTGGAATGAGGAATGATGGTACGTGCTATCTAACGCACCACGAGAGAAGAGAAAATGTGTGTGACCTACAAAGAACATTCAGCAAAATGTCCATGTCTCCGAAGCGCCAAGAGTACACACAGGGTCCTTTAAAAACAGTAACTCTGCAATTACAGGTATGGCAGGTTGATAGACTTGAGGAAATTATCTCAAGGTTACAAAATTCATACCCTGCCAGCCCTGTCATCATGGTGTGCTCTTCTCTAGGTGCTTCACTCAGAATAATCAAGGGTTTTCCATGTCTAAGTCTTGACCATCATAGCAAGAAACAACAGTATAGAATCACAGAATTACAAAATCACAGAATGGTCTGAGCAAGAAACAACAGTATAGAATCACAGAATCACAGGATGGTCTGGGTTGGAAGGGACCTTTCAGATCATCGAGTCCAACCATCAACCCAACACTGACAAACCCACCACTGACCCATATCCCTCAGCACCACATCTGCCCAGCTTTGAAATCCCTGCAGGGCTGGTGACTTCCTGGGCAGCCTCTTCCAAGGCTTGAACAACCCTTTCCAGGAAGAATTTTTGCCCAATATCCACCTTAAACCTCCCCTGGTGCAACTTCAGGCCATTTCCTCTTGTCCCATGGCCTGTTCCTTGGGAGAAGAGACCGACCCCCCCTGGCTACACCCTCCTCTCAGGGAGTTGGGAGAGAGCCAGAAGGTCTCCCCTTATATTAACCAAAATAAAATCTACATGTTATCATCAAATGCTTCCAGACATGGCACCAAAACTTATTACATCCCTCCAGGATGCCCCATCTCATTTCTACCACGGAGACCCCTCTCAGCCACGACCGTTCCAGCTCCCGCTTTCAAACTTTTTTTAACTTTCCAGAATTTAAAAAATCCCAAAATAATCCTGTCCGTTTTTTCTCTCCGCCGCCTCCCCCGAGGAAACGTGTCACCTCTTTGCTCATTTGCCACTGATTGATTGGGTTCTGTTAATTATGCATTCGTAAGACTCGCAAACACTTGAGTTCCAGACTGATTTCGTTTGTACCTTTTATGATATTTTTGTGCAAGAACCGTCTCCTCGGCAGCTCCTCATCCCCATTTTATTTCTTTCTGCTGCCGCTTTTTATCTTCCACTCTCACGCTCTCTGTCCCTGCATATTTAACCATTAACTCTACATTCACCGAAGCGCTTTGGAGCAGAGTCTTGCTTGAAATAGTTTACTCAAAAGAAAAGGCAATTGCATTTTAAAACACTTTCTGTTCATTCTGGCTTTGTTTTAAAAAAAGAGCCTCACGTTTTTCACCGCCAGTAGGAGGAATATTTTTACTCTGTATTTTCTAACCTCTTGAACTGTAAATCACATTCCTAATGACATCAGGTGCTCCGAATATCCAGCGGAATGAGAAGCACTTCACTGAAACAATTACGTTTGCTCTCCAGTTTTAATTAAGCAACCCGCTCAGCTGAAAACTAATAGATTAGTTCCTGGTGCTCCCAATAGGTTCTTTTGAATCACTGGCCATGAAAACAGTTAACTTTTACCCACCCAACACTTGCAATCAAATATGAAGCCAGTTTATCTTCTCCCAAGTCTTTCTTAACCCAAAACAGGTCTCACAAACCTCAGTAACCTTTTCTAAAGTGCTTCAGAGAAGAAGCAGAAAGAGCTACAAAGATTATTTCAACTGTTTTCCCATCGACATCCCAAATTAATATGTATATCAAAAAACACTACAACATCAGTGAGGGGCAGCTCCTTCTAAAAGCCAAAAAGCGTGAAGACAGAAAATTAATACCATTATCTGGTATTAATTCCATCAAGCAGAAGGGAACTAACAAACATGAGGTTGTTTTTACTCTATTTAAGACAAAGGCCCTAAATATATAGACTCTTGACCTTTGCACAATAGCGGGAAACACGGCAAGTTTAATCACTCCTCATCAGGGGTGATTTTTAATATTATTCTTCTAATCTCGAGTCTTTCATTAAGTCGATTCGGTGATTTGAGAAGTATGAAATCAAGGGAAAAAAAAAAAGACATCTTAAAATTCCCTTCTCTTTGATGCTAAAAGCTCCCGTTTCCACCAATAAAATTAAACAGCTGGAACATAAATCTTTCTGCGGTGAGAAGCTGAACGTGCCAAAATGATTTCCTTTCTTACCTCAGCCTTGCGAATACTCTCTCTGGCTTCATCTATTTTCTGCTCCAGTTCTGCTCGGGTTTGCTCGGACATCACCGGCCCGTGGCATTCCAGCTCCTCAAGTGTCTGTCAGAAATAAGAACATACACCCCAGATGTAGCAAATCCCAGCGAGCCATTTAGAGGATAAATATTTACGACAAGTCAGGGAAATTATTGTTTGATTAGATGCTGGGTTGACCGACAACAGGCCCATTCCAGGAAAACAGACGTTGGCCAAGACCAAACCCCATCTAAAAACACAGTGTTTCACATGGAAACTCCACTTGGGGGAATGTTTCGACATCTTCATGAAAACATGGTATGGTGGTATGAATCAACTCATCTATACGTTGATATTTAAATATTTAAAATGAGTACGTTGCTCCACGTTTATGTCAGAAGGAAAAAGGGCAACTTAAGTATGGAGAGAGAGGTTGCTAATGGTACAGGAACGTTGTGTCCAGAGGAGAATTTGCTCAATCACAGAAAACACGTTGGAGTTTCTTGGCTTCAAGTACATGGAAGTTGACTGTACAGATCCAGAAAAATAACAAAAACACGTGATTGGACAAACTGTCACCAGTTATTTGCGAATCTGTGCCCAGTTCAGTGACTATTTATGCTTTTTGTGTCACACAGTCTTTGGAGAACGAGCAGAAGGAGCATCAGGTGGTAGAATCAGAATTATAGAATCACAGAATGGTTCGGGATGGAAGGGACCTTGAAGAACATCTAGTTCCAACCCCCTGCCATGGGCAGGGACACCTCCCACCAGACCAGGTTGCTCCAAGCCCCCTCCAACCTGGCCTTGAACCCCTCCAGGGATGGGGCAGCCACAGCTTCTCTGGGCGACCTGGGCCAGGCTCTCACCACCCTCACACCAAAGAATTTCTACCCGAGATCCCACCTCAATCTCCCATCTTTCAGTTTGGGAGATTTCCCCCTCGTTCCATGGCTCCCCCTCGTTCCATGGCTCCCCTCCCCGATGAAGAGTCCCTCCCATCTCAGAATCCAGGATGCCCTCTCCTTCCTCCAAGGAGAGTTTTTCCTGCCATATTTTGGTTACAGACTCTGTTAATACCCTCTGCCTGGTGCTACGATTTCTGGATTTTCACTATAGAGCCACCCAGGCTCAGCAGAAGACAGGTAAGATGGTAAACATCTACTTTGGTCTTCTGGCTTCGTGTGGTCCCCCTGAGTAGTTTGAGGAACGGCTCAAATCTCGGAGGTGGAACTAGAAGGCAGGGCCCCCAATTCCTGGGCTGAAGCTCACTGAATATTGTACATTATCACAGATATTGTCGTATAGACACATCCTCTTTAACCAAATTTAATGTAGTCTGGGCAAGTTAGGCTTGACCCCAGCATGTGAAACACATGTTTTAGGCAAGACGTTTGCACAAGAACTTCCAACACTCTCCAAAGAGGGGGACGGGAGCTTTGCCAGAGTTGTTTAAGGATGTTAAGAGGATAATAAGCACTTAATCTTGTGTCTGCACAGGTGGTGTGCATGACTCGTGGATTTTCCAAGTCTTGGAAAGACTTTTGATATCCAAAGAAATACATTTTTTCCCATGGGTAATATATAAATGTATAGTGGAGGTGAGAGAATCCCTGAAACTTCAGTTTGAGCGAAAGTATGGTGTGTAGAACAGAGAGAGGTCTGTAAGTTATTTGCAGTGAAGTAGAAGCTGTAAGTTCATATTTATATGGGAATAAAATCTACTGATGAACCAAAACATTTGAGGAGCTGCTAACCTGGCAGTTTGAGTGTATCCTATCAAGAAAGGCTCAGATAAAAATGGCAGGTTGCCCGGAGAGATAAAAGGACCAAAATAATTCCTTAGTGCTTCCAGCAGCTCCTTTTTCGTGCAGTGGGGAGTTATAACAAATAAAATCCCTAAACAAGTGTTTT